GACTCAAAAGACATATTTGCCCTTGTACTGTTTCGAAAATAACAAGACTGCACAGACGCTATAAGTCATCTTCTTCTTCTCACTTTGATTTTGATGGATCTTAGCTATAGGCTTATATCCTATAGTTTTATTTTCATTTTGTTCTAGTTAAGAAGTTCGAGACTTTAAGGAACCATAATATATTAAAATAATTGGCAAAGAATAGAGAAGTATTTTAAGTTTATAATAAAATCATTTATTTATTGGAAAATTGTTTTAAGAAGAAATTTTAATGACTACAGTAACACAATTAAGAATGTTTTCGAGAAAAAAATAAATTTGTTATCCCGAGAATTCTTCAACGTTTGAGTTCGAATATTAGATTATGGGTCAAAAGTCGTTTTTACAAGAAGAAAGTGGTGGTTTACGTTCTAGGTCATGATCACCTAAATCAAGACCAAAAGTAAGGCTAATGCTCCTAGGAGATCAAATGAAGGCAATGATAACTTTTTTTGCTGCCAAATATACTCTAAAATTAGAGGTTATTTGCCGTTTGCTCTCTAACTTTATCCAGTACAGACATGTATATATTGAATGTATTAGAGGCATATATGGCCCTCATGGGCTCTACCTTTCATCTTTCTCCTTCTATCCACTTTTGTTGTTTTCTCTACTAATTTCGGAATTTTCTAATAAGTATTTGTAGAAAAGTAAGTATATCTATAATCTATAATATATAGAAATAAGTAGATTTTACTGACATTTTGCCCTGTGCATGACTACAAACCTACATTTCTAATTTCTTACACGTACATATAGATAAGAGTACACCGAAGCTCTGAAGACACACGAGAGAACAAAGAAAATGCAAACCTTAACCAGTTTCGTAATTATCATCTTACTTCATAGCTTATTGTTTAATGTTTATGGCCTTCAACACAATATTCAAGAAGATTCATCTCCATTTCCTTCTGATTTTCTCTTTGGTACAGCTTCTTCAGCTTACCAGGTACCCATTTTTCTTCCATTTGATATTTTTTAAAATCAATTTTTTTTTTCTTTCTAATATTGTTTTTATCGTAAATAGTATGAAGGTGCGTTCTTGACCGATGGAAAAAGTTTGAACAATTGGGATGTCTTTACCCATGAATACTCTTGTGCG